ACAACTTTTAGTAAACACAACCTTTAGTGAACACAAATGTTGTAGTAAACACAACTTTTAGTAAACACAACCTTTAGTAAACGCAAATGTTGTAGTAAACACAACTTTTAGTAAACACAACTTTTGTAGTAAACAACTTTTAGTAAATAAAACCTTTGTAGTAAACACAAATGTTGTAGTAGATGCAACTTTTAGTAAACACAACTTTTGTAGTAAACACAACTTTTAATAAACACAACTTTAACTAATAATCCAGTTTTTATTCTTTTTAGAAAATTTAATATTATATTATGTATGCTTGCAAATGATGATAATTTTGGGTATTTTAAACAGACATTCTTTAATTTTTTTATGTTATTCAGATTTGCTTGTAATTCATAATTATTTGTAATTTTATCAAAAAATAGTTTACCATGGTGATGAAAGAATGAAAAGAAACAAGTAGACTTACATTAAAGTTAGAAGTTGCTGTTTTAGATTGACATTTAAGTACTACAATGTTAATGCTAATATTTTTAATGCTGATCTCCATTAATATACTTAAAATACTTAAATACTGATCTCAATTAATATACTTAAAATACCTTAAATACTGATCTCAATTAATATACTGTTTTTGATAAGGTTATTGAATGAGAAGTTTATTTTTTTCAAAAGCTACTTTACTCTGTTCTAATAGTTTAATTTAATTTTAACAAGTTAATTTTTTTTGGAAATTATAAACACATGCCAATTTTTGGCTTTTTTTAAAATAAATAATAATTAAATACTATTCATAATAATAATTACAAAAAAAATAAATAAAAAAAACAAAAAAATTGTCTTGACAACCACCAATGTGGTCACATGTGGCCAATTTTTATCACTTTTTAAGTTTAGTTCACTTGTGATGAATTTGACTAGTGACAACTTTTTTATCACATCAAATTAACTGTGGTGTAAACAATATGTTTAAAAAAAAATTGGATTAACAACCACAATGTATTAAAATTTAATACAAAATAACTTAACCAATAAATAATCAGCCATATTATACCATATACTAGCTGTAATGACCCATAAAATACGGGTCTTGGTAAATCCATTCCACACCGACCTTTTCTATACTTATTCCTTACTTCAATATGTTTTAGTAAGAGGTAGAAAAATAATTAAATACATATATAATAACAATACTTATTGTTTACTTTTTAAAGCTATATTATATAAATTTTCTATTATATTTAACTTTAAAAAACTTGTAACATTTCGGTAGATGTTGTGCAAATCGCTATTTATCAACAAATCAGATATCGGTACCAGCCATATTTAAAGCACCTGCTTGAAATTAAATACCATAGGTATAAAAAGTTTAAAAAAACATGAGATGACGTGAAATAACTGACTTACCATGACCTGTATAATTATTACAAATAATAATAACAATGAATATATAATAGCAAAACAAAATATATAAAGAAAAGTATGTATTTATGCAAAAAGTTTAAGTAAGTTTGCATTATCAATTACCAATTGGTAGATTAACTAACAACAAAAATACTAATTATAGATACTGCCTATTTTTTTTCACCATTCTCTCTCCTCCTACTTTACTTTCTACAGGATCATCACTATATTAAAAAAAAAAAGGGAGGGAGGGTTGAGATTTTGCCATAAGTTTATGCCCACCTCTTATGTGCCTTATGAGATGTGGGCCCTCTATTTGATCTGCAATAAGCATTGTAGGATGTTTAAAATGAAAAAAATTTAGATATGAAAAAAGAAGCATTAAAGATTAACATTACAAACCAATTTACCTGTTGCAGGTGCTTTTTCTAGAACATTGGTAAAAATAGCCAAAATCTGTAAGAAAAGACATTTATTGCAAAAACAATCAGCTATTACACAAAATAATAAAAACATAATAACTATCGGTGGAAAAAAAATTTTTGCAATTTGATCAGAAAATAAAATTATACTTACCTTGATTGTGACTAATTTCCTTTAAAACTATTAGCTAATGATCAACTTAGCAAATTTTAAATAATTAAAGTTTACTAAGTTAAAATCATTAACAGTAGACAAAGTAAACATATGATAGTTAGCAGAGCACCTGAGTAGAATTAAAGAAAAAAATAACTAAAGTTGCTTCGCGATATATATTATACCTATTGAGTTCTCTCCTAGTCTGCTTTCTTTTATTTTGATTACAATTTATCTCAGCTGGCCTAGGTTTTTTTTTTTAAGTAAGTCTAATAATTTCACTTCTAAAATTATCAGACATTATTAAGCATTAAAGGAGTGTGTTCTTAAAATAATAAAAGTTGAACTTTTAGATTGAACTTTGAGTTTTCTTTCTTAAACTCATCTAAAATACAGTGTAAGCAAATAAAACAGCATAATATTATATTCTACTCTACTATTCATATTTAAATTAGATGTTTTGAATTAATTGAGCATTGTGTAAATATAACATATTTCTATCGAGAACTTAAACTAAAGTTATAAATAAATTAATATAATCTTTTTAACCATTGTTATATATTTAAGGTGGTTGTTATTAATTATTGACAAAATATTATTAGTATTTAACCAAAAAAACAATAAAAAGTAATTTAAAAAACAAATTTTTTACATATAAGAACTCATAAATAAAGCAAATTAAAAAATTATAAGGCCTGTCAGCTTAGCAAGTACTGCTAGTATGGAACAATAAAATGTAATCATCCATCATAAAAACCCTTTCATTATTTTGAAAAGCATTTAATGCAAGATTTGCAATAAATAAATACCAAACTAATAAAAGAAAACCTCTTTAAACAATCAATATTTGCTTCAAATGAAGTTACTTGGAAATATTGAAACTTCTTTAACTTTTTTAATTTTTTTTATATTTTTAATATTCTTAGGAAAAAGGTCAATAATTTAGTGCAGATATTAAAATATTAAAATGTCATATAATATAACATATTAAAATGTCAATACATATACATAAATATACACACACACACACACACACACACACACACACACACACACACACACACACATATATATATATAATATATATATATATATATATATATATATATATATATATATATATATATATATATATATATATATATATATATATATATATATATATATATATATATATATATATATATATTATATTATTAGAAAACATTCTATATACAAAAAATCCTAAAAATTTAATGAAAGTTACTAAAGCTTATGTTACTTACCTTTATATTTATAAAAAATTTTTAAGTTAATCATATTTAATGAAGGAAATCAAAATTCTTACATGTTGTAATTGGGAGGAGCTATTAGTAAAGCCTGTTTTTTAACAAAATTTATTTATCGTCAAAAACATAAATTGTTAACAAAAAAGAACAGAGCATAACAACATTTAAACACATTTTCTCAACAATATTTTTTCAACACCTTTTCGGAAGTTTTTTAACAAAATTTATCATAAAAAGCATAAATTGTTAATAAAAAAGAACAAAGTATACATCTTTTAAACAAATTTACTTAAAAAGTAACAGTATAAATAATATTTAATGAAGTATAAATCTGTTAAATAAAAGTTACTTAAAATTATAAATATTAAAAAAATTATAGATATTATAGATATTAAAAAACTATATATCTTTTCAACATTTCTTACAACACATTCTTACAACACATTCTTACAACACATTTTAAAACACATTCTTGTAACAATATTTTTTAAACACTTTTTATGACTACACTTACTACAAACAGATTTAATTTATGTGTTACATCATGACAGTAAACCACTTAACAGACATGGACAACAATCTTGCTCTCAACAAAGCTAAGTCACATTATAGCAAAATACACCACTTGGCTAGGTTAACATGTATTGCATGGATTCAAATTGTTGTGACTAAGCCAAGTCACAACAATTTGAATCCATGCAAACAGCATAATAACTACTTATAACTATAAACAAATAATACTATATCACAAACATAGAAACACTCATATATAAGAGATATTTACACACAAAATATTTTGTATAAAAGCAAACAGATTTTTTTTAACTTCTTTAAATTAAGGTATTAAACTATCTTGTTCTTTAACATGTAACATAAAGTTGACCGTGTGAGATGCAAGGGTTTTGGAGATAAACACTAACTTTATCAAGAGTTTGACCTTTGAAAAGAGCAACGTTTTCCAGAGTCATTATCGTCTTCTAATTTAAAAAGTACAGGTTAATATACTTTAAATACAGTTGACAAAAGACTTGATTTATAATATAATATAAATTGTAATTGTAATTATTATGCATGAATTAAATAAATTACTTGACGTTATTTTACTACTTACTTGAAGTTATTTTACTACAAAAGTTATTTAATAAATATTGGTTCATCCTTTACTACAAAAGTTATTTAATAAAAATTGTCGATCTTATTACTAATTAAGCTAATGAGGCAAAGTTTTTGATTTTATTAGTGATTAAGCAGATATTGACAGATCATTAAGATTTGAGAGTACCGCAAATCCTATTTATAATAAATGGTAAAAAAGTTCGTGTAAATGCGCACGAATGGGCAGCAGCAGCGGTAAGTTAAGTATTAATTATAAGTGTCTAGTATATGGTATAATACATACTAACAACAGCCAGTAATGAGCCTACTAACTTAAAACAATTTTAACAGATTTAATCCTTATGAAATTTTTAGCTTAAAACTATTTTTTTTTTTTAATTTATTGACACTATGCAATAAGACAAACATTCTAAATTGAGATTTAGAACAGTTTAAATTGTGATTTTTCTTTTACAAAACAGGCGTGTCTTCTATAATCATTATTATTTAGCAAAACAGTTTTGTCTTCTGTAATCATTATTATTTAGCAAAACACTTGTGTCTTCTGTAATCATTTTTATTTATATGGTTATAAATAATACTTAATAAAATTAAATTATATGCAAATAAATACATGTCAACAAAGTTTATTTATTGTTTTGGTGTTTTTTTTAGCTAACTACAGCAAGGGCACCTCCCCCACAAAACCGTAGAAAAATGTCGAGGTATTAAAATTAATTTGATACATCTTAAAAAATTTCATTAAATAAAAAAAGAGAATGAATCTCTATTATTGATTTTAGAAGTACTTCAGTGGGGCATAAAAAACAACTGCAATCTTCGAATGTAAGTACATTCTGAAATCTTTTTTTTTATAAAAACTATTGTTATGCTTTATAATAGGTTTCATTTGAATGCAGGTTGTTTTTTTTTTAGCTATCTGCTCCATCCTTGGATATTTATAAATTGAGCTTTGAAGGTATTTGTTATTTCAGTTTTAATTTTACTTACAAATTTGGTTTTAAAAATTATTTTAGTTTTTTATTACAATGTGGTATTAGGTTATAAAATTAGAGTGAAATATTTTTTGGATTTTATTAGGGCGTGGTATTAAATTATGAAATGTGACATATATTTTGGGTTTTATTAGGACAAGGTATTAAGTTATGAAATTAGAGTGTATTATTTTTGGATTTTATTAGGGTTTAGTGGGCTAGAGATCGGCATAAATGTTGAAAATGAGTATTTGTGGAAACTTTTTTTTTTTTAAATTTCAAAAATACCCCACATAAGAAAATCTGTTGTTTAAATATTTTCATTTTTGTTTTAGGAGTTCTGGGAAAGTTTTCAAGCTTGTCCATTTAAGAAAAAATAGAAAATGCTCAAAATATATAATTTTATGTAATAAGCACAATTTTCTTTAAATAATATTTATTGTCTCAATATCAGGGTACACGCTTTATTGTCTCAATATCAGCGTACATGCTTTATCGTCTCAATATCAGGGTACATGTTTTATTGTCTCAATATCAGGGTACATGCTTTGTTGTCTCAATATCAGGGTACATGCTTTATTGTCTCAATATCAGGGTACATGCTTTATTGTATTAATATCAGGGTACACGCTTTATTGTCAAAAACTTAACAAACAAAAATAATCTTGTTTTTATAACAATGAAAATAATCTTTTTACAGTTTCTCAATTTTGCAGAAGGTTTCTGATTAAAAAAATGTTGCACAAGGTTGCATAAATTAAAGTTTAGCAGGTTTATAAGTGGTTTTATTAATGACTCTTTTGTCATTTTCATTTGTTCAAAGCACGTTGTTGTTAAGTATGAGCTCTAAATAATTGCAATTATGAAAACTACAGGATACAATGAAGTTTAATGGTATTCCACTTTATTAAGTAATGTAGTTTTTTTAGTTATTTATCAATTATGTTTTTAATTATCTAAAATACCAATACTGTTTAGAAACTTTGGAAAACTAAAATTATATTTTTAAATTTTCTAAAAAATTACTTGGAAATTTTTTCATGCTTTGCTCACTTAATCAAATCAGTTATTGACTGTGATGCCTAATCTATAACATAGACTTGAAATTATTTTCTAAATAATTTAGCAAAAAATGGAATAAAGTATAAAAACTTATTATATTGTATATTACTTAGTATCCAACTTAAAATGAAGTAAGGGAAGAAAAATATTTATGCATATCTCGTTGTGGAATACAAATTACTGGTTATTCAGCTTAAGTTGATTTACAGAGCCCAATTGACCATACTACATACAGGTTTTTATGCTTATGCCAAGGACTACTAAACGGAACGACGCGCAAAGTCAATTTCCTGACTCCGCTAGCAAAGGCCAGTCAATATTTCTCACTTAACTCCTAAATAACTAAAATTGGCATAAACAACATTTCTTAAAATCAAAATTCTGAAATACGATTAAAATATTTTTACGTTATTGTTAATAACAAAATCAAAACTTATTTTAAAAAGCTTAAAAGATCGATATAAAAAACCTTTATATAAAAAAACAAAGAACATATTATTGACACAATTTATTTATAAAGAAATAAACATATAAACATCATATTCTCTAGAGACTTTTAAACAATGTTAAAACTTTTTTTTTTTTTTAACAATGAACTTAATATAACTTCGTAAAGAAATAAACAATACAATATTTTTCAAGTAAAAAATCTAAAAAGAAAGATTCACTACTCAGCAAGTCGTGCCTTCTTAATTGATGTCTGATAAAGACATGCATTTTTTGCTTGGTCTTTATCCAAATTCTGAATTCCATGCAGAAGAACATTTGTCAAACGCCTAAAAAGACTCTTTGATGATAAACCAAAATCATAATATGTGTCCATTATAGATAGAATGTTTATAAGTCTTTTTCTACAACATGCTCTGTGCTTTGTTTTTTTCACAAAGCATAAACCAATTCTAACTAGCTGATAAGTACACTCATGTGGAACTGTCAAATAGCCCCTCGAAACTTCTTCAATAAAGTCTTTAGCTTCATTTGTTAGTTCAGGTTCATCATCTGGATAAACTAGTTCATCTTCACATTTTTTCTCAAGCCATCCTGCTTCATAGGCAGCAGAGCTCTCTTCAGTTTCAGAAAGACTCAGATCATAAATACATGTTTCAATTAAGGTTGCATCTTCAATACTAATTGGACCCTCACATATGTGACCTTTTTATTGGGTTGTCCTACTTCTACTGATTCTAAAAATGATGCAGCAAATCTAGCTAAACGCTTTTTAAAAGCAGAGAAAACATCACCAGCTGCCATAAAAGCATTTGCCCCTGTTGATTGTCTATAAACAGAAAATTCTCCTTCTATTCTATCACTTTGTAGCTCACGAAGCAAAACATAATCAAAACCAACTGAAAACAAATGTTTGCAGAGAGCTATCAATCCTTCAGTAGTTTGCACAAGGGCTTTTTTGATATCATGGGTAACGTACTGAACTCGTTTAGGCCCATGTCCTGATTCCATACATTTAAATATGTCTAAAAACAATTGAAGATTATTTAAATTTTTATTTTGCACAGATCAATTGTGATTTCTCAACCTAACATCCTGCCCTTTTGTAGAAACATTAACAATATTCCACCAATCTAAAATCTGATGGATAAAAGAGGATGTTTCATAAGCTCCTTTTAGTTTAAGGGAAGCTACTACTTTCTTATTAAACACTCTTAAAACATGCTGCACATTCTGTAGTTGAAGTCTGGAAGGATAGACAGCAGCATAGGATAAAGGAACTGTTTTTAAAATGTTCTCTTTCTTGTATTGATATAGACTTTTCACATCTGAAAATGAAGCTATGGTTTTATTATCGAGAGATAGCTTTTGACACTTTTCAGAAATCCAGTTATTGCGAATACATTTAAATAGATGAACTGTGTCAAATAAAAGAATTCAAACACGCTGATTGTCTAATGGATGAATGGCCTGATAGTCAGTTATTTTGTTAAAAATTTTGCAGTATTGCTGATTGATTTTATGATTATCAGTTACAGATCCTAAAACTATTGCACCATGTTTTTCAACTATAATAGCAGCTTCTTTCACAACAATGAACTGATACAATGATGTTAGTTTGTGAACAGGGGTAACAGAAATCATTAAACTAGGTCCACCATGTAAGCATTTCATCATGACACATAGCATAGAGGTTGCTTTAGATTCTGGATCATTTCTTGCCATCCCATTTAAAACTCCACAAGAATAAGCAACTGTTGGCCTAATTTTTACCTCGTCAACGTTCAAAATAACATTTTTCTGTTGATTATTCTTTACGTTTTCAAATGTTTTTTGTAAAACATGGTCAATGTTAGTGGCAGAAATTATAGACTGACTATAGCTTTCATTTACTTCGAAAGACTAAAAAATCACGAAGTTGATCGTAGTTGCAGTTATAAAAAGACTCGATTGCAAAGCAATAATCAGCTATAGAGAAACTTTTTTTAGACAAGAGTTTGAGTTGTCTTGTAATAAAATTCAATTTTTTTTGTTTCTTATCATCATTTAATTCAAATTCATTTTCTGAAAGAGTATTTGTCATCTTTTCAATAACATCATTAACATGCAGATTATAATTATGAACTAAATTGATTGCTTCAAAAAATTGTGAATAGAAGATTAAGCCATTGTTTGGATTCAATATATTAGCTAATGGAACTGAAATTCCATGTTTAAAAGCTGAAAAGGTTAGCGGTGAACACAAGGTACACTTATCATAAACAATAATTGTCACAAAACTCTCTTTGAAACCTTTTGACATAAAAATGCATATGAATTTATCGTCTTGTCGAGATATTACTATATTTTTATACTTTTTGTGCAACTCATTGTCAGGATAAAAATCAGAAAACGAATATATTCTATCTTTTTTGATGAAATAATTCAATTGCATGTCCTCAGGTTTAGATTGGCGAGTCACAGGCTTTGGCGTTGGTAAACAAGAAAAAGGAACATTAAAAATACAAGGTGCACATGCTGGTCGAGTATAGCCACCAGGCAGCTTAATCATTTCTGTATTTTTAGGCCAATGTTTTTCACATATAAAAAACTTAGACGGCTCAATAATAAACTTTTTACGTAAAGGAAGAACGTTAATCAATTTCTGTTTCTCAATTTCATCTTTCGGTAATTTAAAAATACGACACTTATTAAGTTTATTATAACTTCCTTTACAATTTACAACGCCACATTTGTTCACCATGATTATGGTTAAAATTAAAAAAAAATGTTAGAGGAACGTTAAAGAACACTTCAACTTTGATAAAAATAATGGCCTTCCCTAGCGGAGTCAGGAAATCAACTTTGTGCGTCCTTCCGTATAGTAGTCCTTGGCTTATGCTCATCTAATTAATTTTTTCACAGCACAATAAATGACGCTTGTTACCTATATATTATTGTAACATTAGCGTTACAAACATATGATTGTAACAAGTATAAAATCAAATTTTGTAATAAATAAGCCATTTTTTTAGAGGAGCACGGCTCACCATGTTTGTTTTAGGAGAGCTTTTCTCTGCTTTTGCGCTAATTTACTCCCACTGAGGCCCGAAAACCATCCTCTACGCTTTACTGCCGTCCAGTACAATTCAATATGTAAATAAAAGTGCTGAGATTAATACGCAAGAATATATTTTCTTCAAAAACAGTAATTTGAAACAAATGATCCTAATTCCTTCATCATCAAAAATAAGTTAGAATGCACAACGATTGATGGAAAGGTGGCTACTATAGCTTTGCCTTTAAGTAATTTTTTACAACTATGTAGTATTTGTGGAGTGATCCCTTCAAATATGAACAATCTAAATGTTGCCTTTTCAAAAGTCTCTAACACAGTTTCCACTGAGCTTGGATTGAGCAAAAACATGCATGGGTTAGTTGGTTTGAATGCTGCATTCATGTAAGTTATAGAATTGAATTAGAAAAGTGGCAAATA